ATTATAAATATATTGTGAAAGGAATGGGCCCCAGGAATGTGCCTTGAGATACCCCATATCTAATCACCTACCTGAGTTTTTCCAGGTAGATAGCATCTGAACAATGTATCCAGTTCTTCTCGTGAACTCATATCTACCAGAGTCTAAAGTTACTTTTTATGACTTTTAGTATCAAACTCTTCAGCTAGGTTGAGAAAAACACATTGAGTGATTTTGTCTCTGTCTCATCTCTCAGTTATTTGATGATACATTCCTCTTGAAACTGAACTTTTTCAATTTTTTCTGATTCTGGGATTATGAGAAAATTGAACTATAAAATACCTGTCCAAGTTCAAATGGATTGATGTATTAGCAGATCAAAAACTACGTGGAAAAAACGATATCGAATAGGAACCATTTTTGTACAGCAGAACTAGAGCACTGCCTTTCAACATGTGTTTCACCAAGTACGTTAGCATCATCAGAATATTACTAAATACGGTGGAAGAATTGATTCAATCACATACCTTTTGCATAGCTAGACACTATGTGGATGATTTGTTCTCTATGTTCTGTCAAAAAGAAGTAAATATGTGGAAACTAAGGAACTCTTTTCTGAAATGTAGATATTAAGATAATTCAGTTCTGGATATCCAAGTCGCCATCGCAATCACTGTTAAATACCATGAGAAACTTGACAACGAATACGTTACACACCTCTACTCGAATTTAATTGCCTCTCATGATGTAATTATAATACCTCTTCGAGATTTTTTATCACACCTTGAAACAGTCACGATAACGCTGAACTTGCGATTCTTTAACCTTCAGAAACAATACTCACCATCGTAATAACGAGTTTCATACAAGCGATTGTTCAAGAACGAAGAAACCACAACTGATTGCACTCGAAACTCCACTAAAGTGAGTGAAGATCGGCACAATGATATTTATTGATTGAAATTATAGTACTGCGGTCAGCGTAGCACAAGAAAGAAAACATAGGTCACGTCGGTCGTTCAGACTTTTAAGTCTAGTAAAAGATTCCATAACTTTTTTGTTGTCGTTTTGATAGGAAATAACTATTTCTGGCGTTCATGAGTTTGGAAAAAATGTAAAAATAATCTAAGGAGAACACCGAAATAGTGTTAGAAACCGAGACATAAATTAGCTGAGCATATAATGGATATAGTGTACATTTATGATGATTATGATTCGCACAGGAATCGCTGTTAGGATAATACCGTCAAACGGGGTAAAGTCGATCAAAAATAAAGGTTTTTTCATCCTAGCGCCTAAACAATTGAATTTTTTTTAAAGAGATTGAAAATAAAGATACCTCAAACATTAAACCATCTGATGAACCCATTATTATTTTTAAAAGTTACAGAGTTTTGCTCATCTGCCAAGCTTTTGCTTATGGTAGAGGGTTCTCCTATTTCGTATTCTTCTCTGAATAAAGTAGTAACCTTAGCTTCCTCTTATGCTGCTTCCCAACCATTCAGTGAAGTAAACAGATTTTTCCAAGTCAGAAAATTGCAGAAAAGAAATCGATTGTCCAGATATTGTAAGAATTTATAACCGACATATGGGTGGGGTTGATCTTCAGGATTCTCTGTTGGGATTGTATCCAATAAAAGTTAAAAGTAAGAAGTGGTATCACAGAATCTTTTATCATCTGCTTGATGTTACAGTTGTAAATGCATGGATACTAGGGAAAAAAATAAAAAAGCAGTTGGACAAAGAAACAGAAATAATACCACTTTCGGCTTTCAATACAGAATTGGCTAAATGGCTAATGGCTAATGGCTAATGCAATAAAGGTGTGGAGACTTTAGGTAAAAGTAGGCGTCCTAGCAATGACGAAACGAAGATGCAAAGAGGCTGAGCCAGCAGAATTTGTTGAAAAATATAACATTGGTCATTAGCCCATATGGACTACTGAAAGAGAAAGATGCAAGTATTTGCAATGTAGTGCCAAATCTAGAGTGAAATGTGTTGAATGTAACATCTCCTTTATATTGGCAGGTGTAGGCCAAGGCTCGCCAAACATACACTCTCTTTGGCAACCTTGAAGTGTCTCACGGTGGCCTCCGCGAAGGTTTTGGAAGGTGCAGCGACATTACTGTCATTGCGCGGCTTTTTCAACCTTCTTGGGGTTCCCTCCGTGGAGGTGCACAAGTGAGGGAGCTCTCCTGTAGGGGCAGCCGGTTCCTTGCCTTCATTCAAGGCGGATCTGCTATGTCCAGCCTCATTTCAAGCGGTATATTTGCGTGGACATTTCTGTTCATCCCCAGCCACCGCCTTAGATTGAAGTGAGCACTTCCGTCCAGCCTCGAGATTGGTTTTTGTTGTTTGTTCCATTCATGTATGTTCCCACGAGTAGCAAGGAAAGAGTTGGTCACCTTAGCTTGGGTAGGCTAGTCCGCGGTGGCATGTTTTACAAAGGCTTTTGGTGAGTTTCAGTTCCTATCACCCTACTCATTTCTGCCACTGACCAGGAGTCCGGCGACCCCGTCCGTAAGGCCACATTGGCTTCCCGGACCGGGCCTCCAGCCCCCTGGCCGTACCCTCATCCGCCACCTGGGGACGAGCCCGATAGATACCCCAACACACGGGATGTTTTATTTGAATGACAACTAATGATTTTAATTGAGTAAATATTATGTAGTACATTTATTGGCTCACCATACAAATAGTTGAATACTGAAATGCAGAATGAGATTGATTGATTGAGTTCCCAAATAAAATTCCGTTATGTTATGATTTGCCACAGCTGGTATAGACCGGTTTTAATACTTTACCAGGTTCACCATATTTTTGTATCGCAAAAAGATCGCAAACAAAAGATTCAATTGGCGTTTGGGTCATTTTCTAGCTACAATAGCACGCGTTTGGGTATTTACTTGTTAAAACTGATAACTACATTCATTCACTTATGAATAATCGATATTGTTATGAAATTTTTAAATAAAATATATACATAATGATGAATAGCCAAGCTTGTGTGAGAATATATTTGGTATGAGCAAAAATAATGTTGTGTTTTCATCAGATACATCCTATGAATGTTCGTCGAATGTTATGACTAAAGGCTCTGCAATTACCTCAACTGCTTGATCAAATTTCTACATGAGGTCCTCTTCTTTAATGATATGTTTAAGACAGTTTTGCCATATTTCGAAAATGATAATCTTCAAACACTCCTTAAAGAGTATTTTGACATCTTCAATATCAAACGTCGTGTCCCTACTTGCAACAAAATCCTCCAATTGAGCCAATTTTTCACTTTTCAACAGACTCAATAATGTATGCTGCTTTTGTAACAGGTCTCGGAAATTATTCTATACTCCATTACTTGTGAAAATACACCAATATTTCTAAATACTTCGATAATCCTTTTCCGGAGAAAAACTGCAGCGAGCTCCCTGACTATAATCCTTTAACAGGAATTGAAAATTACCATAATCGAACTTCATATCTTCTACGGAGGAAATACCAACCGACACCGCATAGGTTGATTTATCAGCGAAACTGGAAATCACAACAACAATAAAACGAAAACGTGATGTGTCAACAACTGCGTAAGAAACTTAAGGTTTATTATTCTAATCCTATTTGAAAATTTTCCTCGTATGGACACTGACAGAAATATCGACAATTCAATGAACTGGGGCTTTTTCAATAATCAACATTGTGAAAGAACATCAAGATGAAGAAATATTATTTCGGGCACTCATTAGTCATATTGTATTTTGTCTTAATGATCATGAACTTGAACTGATAAAACGGGTTCCACCGGCAAAGTGCTCATTTATATTCTGCAAATAATCAAGCTGTATAATCTGCTGGATTTCAGAATGCAAATCTTCTCAACCGGTCTGTTCAGTCCTTGACAATCAAATAATTGATTGTCAGCGAGTAAAAGTCCTTGGAGGATTGAGGTGTATTTCTTGATATCAGAATCATTTGGAAATTCATTCATTTATGCACTTATTTATTCATTCATTCATTCATTCATTCATTCATTCATTCATTCATTCATTCAAGTTATCCTTGGATTCACATTTGAAGTTATAAGTTCGACAAGTTCCGGGGAATTGATGCTACCATTGATTATTTTATGAATAGATCTGATTCTAATCTTCTATGAGCCAGATTATTCAAGTTAAGAATGTCCAATATAATTTTATAGTCATATTCACCAATATGATATCCAAGTTCATATGCAGAGTACTTTAAAAACTTATTTTGAACACTTGCAAGCATATTAATATCCTCATGATGTGAAGGGCACCAAAGTGTGGAATTGTATTCGATTATTGACCTAACAATTGAACAATACATGATTTTTATTGAAGTGAGAGATAATTCATTTGCAGATCTAAGAATGAAACCCAACATTTTTAGTGCTTTAGAAGTAATATGTGCAATATGTGGTTCAAAAGACCTTTTTGGGTCGAGAGTGATTTCTAAATCTCTGATTGTGTTTGTTGTTTTCAGTTCTGATTGATTGATTTCATATGGCCGGTTAATGGGAATTTTGTTTCGGAAAAAAGTAAATTTCTGATATTTGTCTATATTCAATTGCAGTAGATTTATATTACACAGCGAACAAAGTTAGATAAATCGTACTGTGATAATTATGTATCAGTTGAGTCATGAATAACTTTAAACATCTTCAGGTCATCAGCAAACAAAAAAATTCACTATTAAGAATAACATCTTCCAAGTCATTTACAAATAGGTTGAAAAGCAATGGCCCTAAATGAGAACCCTGTGATACACCCGATGAAACTGTGATTGAAGAAGATATTGAGGCACCATATTTTACAAATTGTACTCTGCAGGCTAGATGAGTTTAAAGCATTTCAGAATGTTTTCTTGAATATCCAAAGCGTTTAGTTTGCGCAACAACAAATTGTGGTTTACTCGATTAAATGCCTTTGAAACCTGAATCTCTGATTGTGTTTGTTGTTTTCAGTTCTGATTGATTGATTTCATATGGCCGGTTAATGGGAATTTTGTTTCGGAAAAAAGTAAATTTCTGATATTTGTCTATATTCAATTGCAGTAGATTTATATTACACCAGCGAACAAAGTTAGATAAATCGTACTGTGATAATTATGTATCAGTTGAGTCATGAATAACTTTAAACATCTTCAGGTCATCAGCAAATAAAAAAATTCACTATTAAGAATAACATCTTTCAAGTCATTTACAAATAGGTTGAAAAGCAATGGCCCTAAATGAGAACCCTATGGTACACCATATGAAACTGTGACTGAGGAAGATACTGAGTCACCATATTTTACTCTGCAGGCTAGATGAGTTCGAACCATTTCAGAATGTTTTCTTGAATATCCAAAGCGTTTAGTTTGCGCAACAACAAATTGTGGTTTACTCGGTCAAATGCCTTTGAAAAATATGTGTAAATCGAATCCAACTGGTATCTTTTTTCCCAAACTTGTTTGCCTGGGGACCCACCTTCATTGTAGAATTTTTTTCGCGATCCACATATTGAATAATATTAAGGATTATTATTACTAATAATATTTTTATCAATATTATCGTGAAAATTCACTATTGAGGAATACACCTCTGAAAGAAAATTGTGAAGGTGATGTAATAAAGATAAAATACAGTACGAAAAAAGACTTTTAATTCAGAATTTCAAAACTAAA